GGAACCTCAGCCGCTCGCGCTCGGAGCCCCGAGGCTGAGCCTATCACCCACAGGAAGGTCACCCCCCGGGCCCTTCCGACCCCAAAGCAGATTGAGGCACACGTGACTGTTCCCTGCGCTGTTTTAGGGGCGATGCCTACTGAGTATGTCTAAGCCTCTTAAAATGGTAACATGAACCGGTGCCCAGAGTTCTCCGAGGCTTGTTTCAGAGGCGTCAGTGTAGCTGCTGGCTAAGTCCCCACGCACGTCCCTCCGAGGCCCCGGGGAACCTGCGGCAGAGGCAGGCCCGGGAGAGGCCCCAGGAGACAGCTGGCACCAACCACCGGCCTAGAGGGTGAGCTTTCTCCAGCTGCGGCTGAACTGAGGGCTCCGTGACCCACGCTACTGAGGGAACAAGATTCCAAGGTGTGCGCAGTGGGAGAGCACAGGGGTGGTTTTAAACACACACTCACGTGTACACACGCAGGCATGTCTCATGGTAGCTGTACAAAAAACGTAACAACGCTGCCCACGGAAAAGAAGGACGAAGGTAAGGCCTAACATTTAATATCCAGAGCTCTTCTACCAAATATGCAGACTTTTAAAAAATAATAAACATTAGACTCATTGAACCGTGTTAGTCTTTGTTATTAAACAAGTGCAATGAGTGTTTCACCTTATAAACCTCACTGTTTTACTATAATACAAAATAGCTGTGTATTCATAACCAAAAAAAGCTCAACAGCCCCAGCTGGTTTGGCTCAGTGGATAGAGCGTCGACCTGTGGACTGAAGGGTCCCGGGTTCGATTCCGGTCAAGGGCACATGCCTGGGTGCAGGCTCGATCCCCAGTAGGGGGCGTGCAGGAGGCAGGCTATCAATGATTCTCTCTCATCATTGATGTTTCTATCTCTCTCTCCCTTCCTCTCTGAAATATATATATATATATATATATATTACAAATTCACTTTTTAAAAAAGTTCAAGGAGAAGCCCAGAGAAATTTATTTTCAGTGTGAAAAATATTTTAGGAACAATGAAGTGTTCCTTAATCCGAACAATGATTCCACATGCCTCACATTTCAAACTTATTAGAACCTCACATTAAGCTACTTTTTCTTTTTAAAAAAACCCAGCAGATTATAGCTGTGTGACCTGATTTTCAAGGGAGCTGAACACTCAGATCTGAGTGCAAACTAAACACTTTCCAGAATAAGACGAAGTGTGCTCCGCGGCACAGCTGACCGCCTGGGCATGGGGCTGGGAGGCGAGGCGAGACGGAGAAGCACACATTCGGTGCACCCTTCTCACCACTGATTCCTACTTCTTTCAACTTTAAAATGAAAATCTGTAGGCAGAAGTTTTATGGTAGACTTGTTAGGAATTGTCTGGTTTAATTCTAACAGAAACTGGCCTTGGGATAAAGACCAATCCTCCAGAAGGAATCAAATTCAGAGTAAAAAAAAAAAATCTGTTTTTCTATAGTAAAGTTTTTCAACACATTAAACTACAGAGACCCTTAATAAAGTAACGTGAAAACCACCCAGTCGAATCTCACTCCTAGAAGACAACAGGAGAAAATCCACATGGCTTTGGTGGTGGCGATTTCTTAGGCACAAAGACACAATCTATGAGAGAAATAATTGATAGCCTGTACGTTATTAACATTAGAAACTTCTCTGAAAATGACACTGTCATAGATGAAAAAGACAAGCCACAGGAGGAAATATTTGGGAAAGACACCTCAGATAAAGCACTGTTGTTCAAAACATACAAAGAACTCGTAAAACGCAACAACAAAAGTAAGTAGTTTTATTTAAAATGGGCCACAGGCCGTAACAGACACGCCACCAAAGAAGAGGAAAGCGCATGAAAAGATGCTCCACGTCCCATGGCATCAGGGACATGCACACGAAAGCCACAAGGAGGCCCTGCACACCTTTGGAGACCACAGTCCAGGCACTGACCACCCCGAGCGGGGAAGGGGAGGACGCGGGGCGGCAGGAGCCACACGCACTGCTGGTGGGGACACGGGGGGCACAGCCGTGGAGGAAGACAGTGTGGGGGTGCCCCACACAGCTACACCCACTCTCACCACCCGACCCGGCAAGCACGCTCCTCGGTATGTATGCATCCAAGTTAAAAACTCATGTCCGTACAAAACCTGCATACGGATGCTTCTAGCGCAGGGGTGGGCAAACTTTTTGACTCGAGGGCCACAATGGGTTCTTAAACTGGACCGGAGGGCCGGAACAAAAGCATGGATGGAGTGTTTGTGTGAACTAATATAAATTCAAAGTAAACATCATTACATAAAAGGGTATGGTCTTTTTTTTTTTTAGTTTTATTCATTTCAAACGGGCCGGATCCGGCCTGCGGGCCATAGTTTGCCCACGGCTGTTCTAGCGGCTTCACTCATAACTGGGAAAGCCTGAAGGCGACCTGATGGGATGGATGGATCAACTGCAGTCCCCCAGGTGATGGGATATTATTCAGCTAAAAAGAAATGAGCTCTCAAACCCCGAAAAGACGTGGAGGAAACTTATGAGCACATGACTGAGTGACAGCAGCCAGTCCGAAAGGGCCACCCACTGCAAGATTCCAAACCCGTGACATTTCGGAAGAGGCAAAACCATGGAGACAGTAAATGGATCGGTGGTTACCAGGGATTAGAGAGGGAGCATAAGTGGACGGAGGAGGTTCTCAGGGCAGTGGAACGAGGGGACACTATAATCTCGAACACGTTTCATGGCACATTTGTTGCAATCTGTAGGACGCAGTCTGAGGGCCCCGGGATGAGGGTCTGCAGTGTCCCGACCGCAGCCAATGGGATGCTGACAGAGGGGGGCTGTGCCTTTGGGGACAGAACATATATGGGAAGTCGGTATTCTCCACTCAGTTTTGCTGGGTCCCTGAGAAAATAATCTCTTAAGCCCAGCGGGTGTGGTTCAGTGGTTGAGCTTGACCTATGAACCAGGAGCTCAGGGTTCGATTCTCGGCCAGGGCACATGCCCAGGTTGTGAGCTTGATCTCCAGTAGGGGGCGTGCAGGAGGCAGCTGATCAATGATTCTCATCACTGATGTTTCTCTCTCCCCTCTCCCTTCCTCTCTAAAATCAAAAACATATAAAAATAACCTATAAAACACACACCAAAACACAGTTAACAAAAGAATGTAGACACCAACTTGTAAACTAGAAAATCAGGAAAGAAAACAATGTTACTAATGGCTGAATCCAAGTTGCCCTTCAAGCTCCTATTCTTGCAACAGTTTTCTTATGTAAGAAAATTTTCAGAATAAAACAAGAGGAAAAAAACAGGTTGTAGGATTGATTCATCAGGAGAAATGGAGGTAGGACACAGGATCAATTTAAAATTTTAAAGTTCATCCAAAAAAAGATCCTGCTTATCTTTGATCAACAATAGTTACTTGGAGTGTGACTCCGTCACCACAAATACATTCTCATCATTCTATTCAAGAGAGCTGCTGCTTAGAGGAACCCTGCCATTTTGAGATTTAAAAAAATAAAAACTCGGGTGTGCACTAATACTATCAAGAAAGTAACTTCTGAAAGAAGTTCAGATAGGAACCGTCACTGAAGACGTCATCAGATGAATAGATTCATGGAAACTATCCCTGAACTATGTACAAGTCCTGAGAAAGACACTTCCCTAACTGCTTTAACAGCAGCGTCCAAACATTTAACAAAAAATAACCTTTCTGACCACCTTCAAAAGAGAACGAGCGAGCACTGAATTTCTGACCTGCAGTCCATGGCACAAGGAATGAACACGCGAATGTGCATCGGAAAAAGAAAGTGGGGGGAGGGAAGGGGGCGCACGCGCCACACGCAGGATCCACCTGGGATCCTTTTTAATTAACAAATTCTGCGCATTCCAAGCGTGTCTGGAACCTGCAGGGCCGGTGACTCCGTTTTCCGTAGAAAGGTCATCTGCCGTCTTCCTCCAGGCAATCAAAGGTTTAAGAAAAGGAAACAGTTGTTTATCCAAACCAGGGTTTCGCCCACTTGGCACGTAGCTGGGGTCGTGGAGAGCTTTCTGGTCTCCACCGGCGGGCACCGCTCCCGGGACCGCGACTGCCCGCTGCTCCGTCCCGCGTGGGGGACTTGCTAAGGTCCTGGGCAGCCCCCAGCTCAGCAGGGAGGTCACGGCCACGCGCCAGCGTCGCAGGTGCCCTGTCACCTGTCTCGCGTTCCCGACCCCGCGAGGGGTGCT